CCCCCCCCACCACACACACACAAAAACCACCGATCCCAGAACGCCTGAAAAGGAGGCTTAGTCTAGTAATGCAGGCCACGAAGGATGAGTAAGTTTTAATTTGCTTGTCTTTTCAGGTGCACGTGGTTTGTAGGTGTTTTATATATTCGCATGCGCTTTTTCCATGCATGTTCTTTACTAAGCCACATATCTAACTTTTTTTGCTGTGCTGTATAGTACCGAGTAAAATACCTCGTCACACAATGGACGATCAATCATCAGTTAGCTCAAATAACCCTTAGGCATAGAAATAAAAATATTGTGTTTTCGGTTAGACGCCCCACGAATATAATGGAACAACCCAATATGAAGTCAAAGTCCCAAAAGGTCTTCCCAAAGCATTTCACATACAAGAACAAGCCGATTTACCCCCAAGCGTTGCAAGCCTTCCTACAGTTACTGTTAAACATCGTAAGGATCTCTCCATGCAGACTTTTAGGGCGTTAAAAAGGTGGGAACGTGAAAGAGTCCAAAAGCCTGCCTCGTAGCCTGCTAACGAGGCTAGGCTTAAGCTTGTGCCAGTTCAGCAGTAAACGGGTCGTCACGTACCGACCAGTGGTTGTTTTTCTCCACCCCTACAGTGGCACGGTACTTCATATACATGTCTTATAGTTAGGGAGCACAGTGTTCATCTCAAGCCGTCGGACGGCCTTTTCCCTTGGGACTTCCTTGTAAAAACCTGTTCGGTCTGTTCCTGGTTTCTTAAAGTTGGCGATTTCTTCATTTTTCGCGCCTTTTTCTGGATTTAAAGTTACGATTGTGCAGACTGGTCAAGACCTGTGCGCGGCGACCAGACCTGGGGAGGTTAATAGTTGATACATCACTGGCAAGGTCGGCCCTTGTACATGTACGTGTTTGCACAAGACGGTTTTTCATCAGAACACTGACGTCTAGTGCTACTGGTACGACAACAGTCATGGAGGCCGAGAGGGTTACCGTACCGGACGTGGAGACCGCGGCGGGGCGCCTCGAGGGGCACGCCCGAGAAACTCCGGTGCTGACCTGCGGCACTCTCGACGACTTGGCGGGGAAGAGACTCTACTTCAAGTGCGAGAATCTTCAGAAGTCGGGCTCATTTAAGGTAAGAACTCAAGAGACTTACGAATGGTGGCTTTTCTGAAAAACAGGGCGTTTCGAGCTTACTGTAAACACCCATAAAACTATCGCCAGTTGCACTCAAGAACTGCACGTACGTCACTACGTGTAGCTTTCTGATATCTACCGGATGTCTGCTCTGGAAATCTAATTATTTTCCGACACCATTGGCACTGGCTAGCCTCCATAACATGCCAAAACTGGGGGTTTGGAGGGTCTTCATGCTCTTTGAGAGCTTTTTTTATTGCACTGCATAGGCAACATAGCCGGCCTGGTTGAATTACCCCCATTTATCAGAAAACAGCCGAAGACCACCAAACGGTACCCCCAGTTCTATAAGCCTGCTACGAATATTAGACACTGGCACAGAATCAAATCCTGAGACTACACAGATCTATTCTCCAAGCAGAGGCTAGGTGCATTTTAAAAACTTTTAGCTTTCTATTTTGTCTGCTGCTTTTTTTGGTATGCAGAGGTAATAGACTTTTTTGGACGTAATTGTGTCAGCTTATTACTTTTTAATATACAGAGGTCAGGCTTGTTTTGGAGGCTGACGGACTTTCTCAGCTGGCAAAATAGAAATCCTGACGGTAACTATAAGACAAAGGACAAAAGATCCAGGGGACAAAAATGTCTGATATATGATACGTAAAAAAACTGTGTCATCCAGTCAGTGTCTGAAACGCCTATGGTATGAGGAAATACAAAACAACGTGTTTAAAGGGACCGTGCGATGTTCAGCTCGGGTAGGTTAGTATTACTGTGTGTACTTAAGGGATGATCTTCTATCAACAAAAACACAGTACGCTATGCGCTCCAAGCAGAGGTAGATTGGGAAGATTGCAACCGTATATGAACTTTTGGATTAACGTGTCTTACTTACTGAAGACTACTTTAGTAATACGTACGTACTAGTGTCCGCCAGATTAATAACATGGGTTTAAAACCAATAAAATTCAACCAAATACGGAGAATATTGAGTGAATCGAATACCTTTATTGTGATGCTTTTCCAAGCTAAGTACATGTAATGTATAAAGCACGGAGATCGATGTCTTACTATACAAAACGCACAGTGATACTAAGTAGTACACATACTAATGTGTACTACTTACCTACCGGCTCAACTACTACATAGAATTCAAGTTCTTGCTTTTTTTTACAAGGGGAGTTCATTTGCCCTTGGTGTAAACATGACAGTATAAAATTATAATCCCACGGATAGACTCTCCTGGCGAGTCATTTCCCTAATCTCCAAGCAGATCATACGGTGGCAAGGCAGTATCCATTG